TGTACTGATAGTTATATATATAGCTTCGGCAGAAAACAATTATGGTCTCGAACAGACTCTTTCCATATGTTCGTACCGGGTTAATATATATATATATATATATTAACCCGGTACGAACATATGGAGTCTGTTCGAGACCATAATTGTTTTCTGCCGAAGCGAGGACTCTGGCAAAGGATCGGGAGCGCTGGAAGCACTGTCTGACGCGTCTGCCTCCGCGACCTGAAATGAGAAGCGGACATGGAAGAAGAAGATTCTATTCTACAGTTTTTATCGTTGAAATTATAATAGCTGTTCTCTGTTCTTTAGCTCATCCTACCATCAACCTTCATCAGGTCTTTACTCTCTCGCTGATCTCAGTTTAATATCTCTTTCGTCCAACAAGATTCAAGCATATACGGAAAACAAGTAATACGCAATTACATAATTTTCAATATAACAGAATTTCAATGCATTAAATAATCATACTTCTGAAACTGTACATGATACGTAACTACCGAAATATTCAGTCTATAAATTACGTAATTTTTATATCAATCAATCACCTGCACATGATTAAATTCAGTACTGCGATAGGCGCAAAATCAGCAAGATATTCTTAAGTTTCAAATAAGAACGGCGATGGTTTCATCGTGATGCAGAGTGATGGAAAATGTTACGAGAATTACCAGAAACATGCAATTATATACATATTTACTTTTTCTTTTCCCTTGTTCTAAATTTTGCTCTTTTGTCACTGGTAAAAATCGGCGGGTTCTTGGAGTAGTTCAGACGACGAGCCAGCTCCTCGATCATCGGCAGCGCGTCGACCATCTTCCTATCAATTCGCTTGTTCGTTCCTTTAAGAACAACGGATCGGGAATTCGACGAATCGCTATAGCATGGTCTACAACAAACGGATAATGAATAACGAAAAACCAACATATATTAATAGCTGTCTTATCAGTGTTACTAAAATCGTAATAAAATCATCATCTAACAGAGGATGAACGGAAAAACAGCATTAAGTCATTAACCGAGACTATAGCAACGACAAATGAAAATAAAAGAATAATAAGAAGCAACATACTTGAGGCTGCATTACATAATAATATATACTTAACTACTTACTATGTATTAACCTTTGCTCTGACACTCAATCATCCAACGCCGAACGCGTACTATAACACACAACTCAACTCATATCTCCTAATGAGGAAAGGCTGGAGACAGACAGTCGAGAAGATTGTTTTCAGCATCCAGTTGATATACAAAAGTTAGGGATGACCTAATTATTACTTCAATCTTAACAGACTGTAAAAGTTTCCCTTAATCAATGGGATTTATTACTCTGGAAAGGAAAGGTACAGTCGACAAGCGATAGAGACTGGTTCAAGCTAAAATAGCGCTGAAACTGCTGCCATGCCAGAATATATGTAAAAGAATATGAGAATATTTCATGCAAGGAGTGACTAAAGCGTTCAAGAATTGAATAGGAAAGTGTGGAGGAACATTTGATTATGGAGATTCCAATCAGAACGACAAACTGATTTCTATCCATTGTTCTGATAAACTGTTTAGTCATACTTTGATCAGTGGAAGTACACTGTAGTCTATAAAATATAGATTAGTCTACAGAATAA